AGCGCTCGAACATGCACAGGCCAGTCCTTTGGGGGCCAGATTAGGCCTATGGGCCAAAGATTCATATTCAGACACATGCACACACACATATATACTTCCTATATACATACATTCAGAAATAAATCTTAATGAGTTCCATGAGGCATGCTTCTATGTAAATGTGTGTAGCATTGTAGCCAATGTATTTGCTCAGTTAAACCCCAAATACAAATGTTTAAATCCAAATCAGCAGATTGTCAGGGTTTCATTTCCAAAAGCCAATCAGTTTCTTTCCACCTGTCCTTCATTGAAAATGTTTCATACATAGAGAAATATAAAAAAGAAAGAAATCTTGCTGGATACACTGAAACCCTTAAACACACTTTTAAAATGCTCCTTGGATCCCAGTCTCATTTAACTATTAAAAATGCAAATGTTGTACAATATTAGTAAGAATAAGGAACATTAAAATCTTTAGTATATACTTTTGCACATGTTTATGCAAAATGGCTAATAGCAGTACCCACAATGTTTATAGAGGTTAAAAAAAAGGCTGTGTTATAGTCTCTTGCAACTTAAAAAGGAGGAAGGGATAGGGAGGGAAAAAGGAATATGGCAGCACCTTTGAGAGTAAGGGGCTGTACACACTGTCAGAAAGAGCCAGCCTGGGGGCAAAGTGGGGGCATGGTGACGCCTAGTGCCCCACCACATAGTGGAAGGCATCAGGGCACTCCACACACACTGCACCAAAGGAGCGCAGAAAAGCTGTCCAAGTGGTAGCAAGGGCACCCTTTCTGCGGCACAAAAAAAGAGTTGCTTTTTGTGGCTTCTTTTTGCACCATGGAAATGTTAGATTGGGGCCATGGCGCATGGTTGTAATGACCTCACTCCAGCAAGGAAATGGGTGGCATGCTGCCACCCCTTAGGGGCAGTCTGTACAGCCCCTAAGTGGGTCTTATTTTGGCATGAGCTTTTGTGGATATAAATTCACTTCTTCAGATGCAATACAGAGTGATATTCAGGCCTCCTGATATAAAGCATATTTATACAGTTGTAGGATAGAATGTAATAGGATCTAGAAAATGCAAATCATGTCCATTGCCCTAAATTTTTAAAGTGCTGCATAAGGTGATCAGGTCTTTTGGGTCTTTATAGTGCTCACTCTCCAGGGGCAGCTGAAAGCCAGAGATGGCATGGGGGAGGGGAGGAAGAGATACGCGACTGCTCCTCTTCTTACCCCCTTGTCCCCCAGGCCTTCAGCTGTCTATGGAGAGGCAGCCGAAGGCTTGGGAGGGGAGGGGAAAGAAGTCCCACCCCAGAATTCATGCCCCAGAGGACAGACGTCCCACCCCCAGCACCCAGTAACAGCCAGTGCCTCATTTGGGCACTCAGCTCCTAAAAGGTTTGCCATCACTGCTCTAAGGCATGAGGTAATTATGTGGTTTTCACAGCAAGATTTGTTCAGAGGGGGGTTGTCATTGCCATCATCTGAGGCTGAGAGAGTTTGACTTGCCAAAGTTCACTCAGTGAGTTTCCATGGCTGAGTGGGGATTTGAACCCTGGTCTCTCAGTGTCCTAGTCAACACCCAAACTATTGCACCATGTTGGCCTTCTTTTTATACTACAATCTTTATAACAGCATATACAAGCTTTCCAATAGGTCATCATGAATTTTGGAAACCATTCTAATAGTCTCATTACAAATTCCCTTATTCCCTTATAGACTGAGTAATATATTCATGCATCAATTTAGAAAAGACATTTTGACATACTCTTAAAGATTTGCTTTTCCATGTTATTCATGTAATTAAGGAGGGGAAAGCATCAAGATCAAAATTAATTAGTATTACCAGGTTACTACAAAGTGCTTGAACAAGTTATACTTCTGTGCTGTGATAATTTCTACTCTTTTCAACCCCCAAAGCTTATAAGATGTGATCTTTTGTTCAAAGCAATTACACAGACATTAGGCTATATCTTTCCATTACACAAATAAGTTAAATACATGTCTCCAATATCAAAAAGTGTGTGTGTGTGTGTGTGTGTGTGTGTGTGTGTGTGTGTGTGTGTGTCTTGAAGACTTTGGAAATTTTACCAGCAAATACGGTACTTATTCTAGCAACTTGTAGACTAGTAACTTAATTTGATGGATGTTTTCTTTAAATTTATAGATGATTTTTCTTAAACAGTGGTTGTCCTTCAGTGCACCAGAATACTGGATTTCCTTCCCTGGGCTAAACAGATTAATGGTTCGACTAATAATGCTGATCTTGTGCTCTTAACAAAGTTGCTTTGTTTATAGGTCTCAACTGAAACGGGATATATTGCACCTTAAAAGTAGGAACGCTGTGCAAAACATCAGTGCATTGTTTTATCAATAATTATCAGATACATGGAATTGGATGAGTCTTACAATGGATGCATGTGCATGATTCACATCTCAACTATGTATGAGCCAAACTAGACAAAGAGGAAGAAGAATATGTGACCATCCAAATCAATCTTTAGAAAAGTTATTTTTCAACTCAATTCCCAGACTCCCTCAACCCACATAGATGAGGCTGCCTGACTCACTGGGATGGCCTGGTTGTTGGGGAGGAAGGTGGCGGTCTGCGGAGGCTCCTTGGCCTGGCTGCATCCTGGCAGGCATCACTGGAGATCTTCCAGGCCCGGATTGGCTTGCTGGGCCTCTGGAAGGATGGGGCTTTTGAGTGTGGCTGAGGACTACATGTCCCAGTGAGCTGTGCGGCTGGGAGCACTCCCCCTGGACCAATTCCAAAATTGCAGATTGGTGGAGAGGCCAAGGAGAGCCAGGACTTCCACCTATCCTTGCTTGTCATTGGTTGAGAGGCCTATTTAAAGCCACATGGCTAGGACAATCAGCACCATTCTAGACTAGTTCTCCCCACCCTCCCACCCTTTATTCGGGTTTGCAGGGTTAATGGGTGCTGTCACAATTTCTCAGGGATGGTACCATGTGCCTTGGATCTGGTGGGCATGACTTCCTGTGCTGCAGAGCACTGGCTTGGGAGTCCCACAGGGACCCTGGGGTGCTGAGAGCATTGAGGTGCTGCCATTGTGGGGCAAGGGAACAAAGGGGTGAAGGTGCACATATGTGATCAGTCAGTTACCTCTTCTGTCCTCCCGAGGCCTGGCCGTGACCGGGCAGTGTGTTTCATCAAAAAATAGGTGGGTTGGCCAGACCCATGCATTGGGACAACCCTACCCATCAGCTGTACTTAATAAAGTTGTGGACTCTTCCTTCCGATGGTGTGTCCTGGTGTGTCCTTATTGCAATATCTTCCCCTTCCCATCCAACTACTAGTCCTATTGATTCGGGTAGGCACAGTCCAAAAAAGCAACTTTTCTCAGCTCTGTTCCAGGTGTCATTGGTCTGCAAGTCTCATCAGCCATACCCAGCTAATGGTAAGAACTGAAGACAGTTTTAGCTCCCCATCTCTAGATGTCTTGATGATGTGGGTTACTAGTATGGATCAGAACTGTGAGATTTAATCCTTTCGATGCTTTCTATATTCTTGATTTTGCACATGCACACACACAAACACACACAGGAAGAGGGGGCATTTGCTGCTGGCCCCATCTTAAGACAGATTTAGCTAACTTGTAATTTCCCCCCAAGAGATTAAAGAACAGGCAGAAGGAAATTTTAAATGGGAAAACTACATGGGCAACAGGAGCAAATAAACCCACTTAGGGGAAATTCTCAATCTAAATTTCATTTGTCTCCACAGCTGCATTTTGCAAATATTTAAGAACCCATTTAAAGAGTGAGTGGGTTAGAGGGTGGTTAGTTTGTTCAACTGTAACCTGGTAGATCCAAATCCTATTCCGCAGTGAGCCATAAAACTGGCTGGACGCCTTTGCCTAACTACCAGATAAAGTAGGGGAGGGAGGAGAGTCATGCCCAAGACTCTCAAGCATATGGGAAACTGGAAGAAAATAACATTTTTATTACCACCATCATAACAACCTTAGCAAGTTTAAGCAAAATCACTTAACTTGTCCATTTTGTTTGGTCTCTTTGTCCTTTGTTATTCTTGCATGTCTCATTGTGTCATTCCTGATTAGATTTCAAAAACTGTCTGAGATCCAACAATTCCCAGCATAAAGTAAAAAGTTCTGCTGGTCAAAATTTGCTACATCTCCCTGTTTACTGCCCTAAAACATGAGGTTTTGTTGTGACTGGTGGATAAGAGAAGCATCTGGCTATGCCCCTGGGTTCTTGACAGGTGATGCCATCTGTCTGCACCTCCTTATGGGACCTACCCAGATCCTTCTATGATCTCCAATACTCTCCACCGGTCTTGGAATGGCCACTTGGAGTCCTATAGCAGCAAATCTATGAGTTTTGGGGAGGCTTTAGCTGTTGCATAGGGTGGAAGAGACTAGACTACCAACTTCTGCAGTGACAAAAAAAATCATGCAAAGGAACAAGGGGGATGTTGGCTTGTACATGTCACTAACAGGATGCTAGAGACTTTTGTTTAAACAAAAAGTTTTCACAGTTTCTGGTGACAGCAGCAATTGTGGGGATGATAATTGCTGGATGTTACCACAAATGACTGTGACAGTATACAGGGCAATGTGGGCAACTTGGCAAGTTATTGGGCAAATTTTCTGTCCTGTTACCCTCCAGAAGTGTCAAGGACTTTCCAAAATCCCAAACTGTGTGGGTGCAGGAAGGGAAGAAACTAAAAATCCAATTCCGATTGTGAAAACCTGAAATTTCCAAGATTAAACCAAGTGCAAGGAGTGGAATTTCCTTGACATATTTAAAAGGCAAATTGTCACTCCTGGAGGCCAAGTAAAGCCACAAAGAATGAAAGGAAAGAGGTCAGAGAAATGGAAAAAGAGGCCACAGGCTGTGCCTTCAAGTCATTTCTGATTTATGGTGACCCAAAAGGTAAACCTTTAATGAGGTTTTCTTGGCAAGATTTGTTCATTGCCTTCCCCTGAGGCTGAGAGCATGTGACTTGCTCAAGGTCACCCAGTAGGTTTCATGGCTGAGCAGGGAATTGAACCCTGGTCTCCAGCATTGTAGCCCAATACTCAAACCACTACACCAGGCTGACTCTCAGTCTATCCTGGTTGCTTAATTTTATATTTTAGAAGAAGGGTGTGGAACATAATCCATTTGTAATAGAATAAAGGAAGTAACAGACCACTGTAATTTTACAAGAGTCCCAATAAATAGGAAATTGACACAGAGTAACTTCTTATATTTGAAAGGCTTTGGGAACAAGTCTTCCTATAAACTGAAAGAAAATTTTACTACTTGGAGGAGAGTACCTAAAAGCATGAAACTCAGTGAAATCTGTACTAGAGCTTTGTGAAAAGAATGCATTCTTAGCTCATTTTGAATGAATTCTAAAGCAACAGGGGTGAAAGCTGGAAACTTCTGTGCTAGGCTTTGAAATATTTAATAACCTCAAAAAAAACACATGGTCAGTTAAGAGGAGGGCTTCCATTGACTTCCATTATTCCTATTCTAACAATACAAATTTTCCTAAATGGAACATTTAAATTGACTTTTATATTTTTTTTAAAAAAAAGAGGTTACCCTAGTGGTATAAAGGTATAATAAAGGTTAGAGGTATAAATATCTGTTATGTACTTAAACAGCTGTTTTTTTAAAAAAAAAAATCCTCTAAGCATTATTTCATCATAATTTGTACAATTGCTTTTAGACGTAACTGCTATACTTGGTTATTTCTGACCTTTCATTTTTTTCCATGATAAGTGCTGGAATTCTAACGAAGCAGAAGCTTTTGAGAAGTGTTAAGACAAGGGCATTTTGCTGCTACTCCTAATGGCTTCATCTGGTGTACATGAGAATCTAGCACTGTGCATAGAGGTTTAACATTTCCCACCCTGGTTAATCAATGCTGCTCTCTCAGAGTTTAGGATTACATTATAATTGAGTGGAAATTATTTACTATTTCAAAACTGGGGGTGGGGGTGGGGATATACTTTGCAGGATTCCCTACCAAAGGGTTTTTGCTCACCATAGCCCTGATCTCAAACAGTGATCAGTGAACACTTTAGCTAAATCCAGAATATATTTACTTCAAACTAATGTTTCTGATTCAGGCTGTTGCCACACTGCAGAATTAATGCAGTTTGATACTGCTTTAACTGTTGTGGCTCCATCCTATGGAATCCTGGGATTTGTAGTTTGTTGTGGCACCAGAGCTCTCTAACAGAGAAGGCTAAATATCTCACAAACCTACAGATCCCAGCATTTCATAGCATTAAACAATGGCAGTTAAAATGGCATCAAAATGCATTAATTCTGTAGTCTAGAGGCAGCCTCACTGTGAATCAAGCAGAAAACAGTTTTTTTGTCTCAGTTCAGATTTTACATCCCATTAATACATAATTATTTCATTGGAAGAACTGAAAAATGGGAGTCCTGACAGTAGATCAGCCAGAATTTTGTGGATTCTCCCCCACCACTAGTATTTAATATTCCAAAGTGTTGCAGAAGAACCATTCTGGAGGGGAATGCACATGCAGAAAATTGTCCAGAAAACAGGAGGGAACACAAAAATACAGGTATATTTCTCTGCAGAGTAATTTCTCCACACTATTTTGGAACATTTGACTCTGGGGAGAACGCTGTGGAGGAATATTTGTTTTCCCCACAGTGGGTAGAAACCTACCATAATTATTTGTACTCAGTTACAAGGATGAAATAGTTGATGACTTGCATCCCCAAGATAAATATCACATAAACAAGTAATTTTAAGTTATATTACATAAATAAAACATAGATAATAATAAGAAAAACAGTCATTATGAAAATTATATAATACAAAAGAAAAAACGCATGGTCAGACCCTGCCTTGAAATTTTTCATACAAAAAAATTAGCAACCAAGGTCCATCTTTGTATGAATTTCTTATTTTGTAGCTAACATTACTCTCATGAAAAGAACATTATTTTTATAAGAAAAGCTTTCCCCCCCCCCCCCAGATTTCCTGCAAATGATCTGAAAAACTAGATAATTCTGACATTTTCTACTGAGGGACCTACATACATCCTGGAAGCTAATAATAGTCCTAATAGACATTGTAAATCTACAGACTCAATCTTTTCTTCAAAATCACACAATGAAATAGTCTCAGGGTTAGTTGATAATGGTATCCTTTCATCTGATGGATTGTAATAAGAATTACACTCCAAAATACTCAGTTAATACTTGAACAGTTTTAAAATGCTCTTTTCCAGGGTCTTGACACCTCCAGTGCTCATCAAAACTACCTGGACAGATTTTACTCAGTTTGGGCAGAGCAAGAGATCATTGGATAGATTAGCAGGTTAAGTTTAAGCACGTAGGCCAGAATCTTGTTAGTGACTTATTCTAGTACAATTCTTAAACACATTGCACAAGGAAGTATACAGTACCTTCTTGCACAATGCTTTCTCCCTGGATGTACAAGGGCACCCAGGAAGTCTTGGGGGCAACTCTATCCTCCAGTCACTTAGTGACTGCAGGATGCACCCACCCACTATCCAGCTTCCGGGTTGCATCCACACTGGTGCCAGAATAAACTACAGTTCCCAGAATTCCATAGCATTGAACCATAGCCATTAAAGTGGTGTCAAACTGGATTATTTCTGCAATGCAGATGCAGCCCTGGTATACATAGGCAGCCCTGAAACTAATCAGTGATCAGGGAGAGGCATTGTGGAGCTTATTGCATTACCTTTTAAGTTGAGAGCAGCTTAACAGGATACAACCAGGATGCAGCATGGAGGTGGGAATTATTGCACTGTAATTCACCACCAAATTCGTTGGGGAGCCCAGGTCCCAGCTGCGCTCAGCCGGCCCTTTTTTGAAAATAGAAAGCTCCTGAGTTTTAATGGTGGCTGGCTGAGTGCAGCTGCAGTCGCCCAGTGGATTCAGCCATGAATTACAGTGTGATAATTCCTGCCTCCATGCTGTTTCCCAGCTGCATCCTGTTAGGCTGCTGTCGACTTAAAAGGTAATGCGACAATCCCCTGTGTGTGAGAGCCTCCAGCTTTTATACCCAGAGAAGAAGAAGTAGCCATTGTCCCCTACCCCTACTTAGTTGTGCTAAGGAGGTTCCATAATAGAGTGGTGCATAGGGACTTAATTTTGACTAGAAGATATCCCTACTTTTTGTTTTCACCCTGAAGAGAAAACCAGGTTCTATGTTACACCTGTTGAACTTGTAGGGATGCCATTGAAAACAGAGTCTCCTTAGCCATACCATCCTATTCATGTTAAAACCTAAGAACAAACATGATGTGATACAGCACTATCATCATGTTTACAGGTTTTGTTGGAAAATTTATGTATTGCATTCTCCTTTCCTTCCTTAGATAAACAGGGACTTCCGTGTCTCATTCTATTTCACTCTATCGAAATATGTTACTTTGGTCACTCACTCTTGGAGGTTGTTTAACAGACTCTCTCTCAAGATTTTCAACAGTCTCCTCTCAGTCTCAGTAGAGTAATAGTCTCCTGTGAGTGAGGGGCAACAGTCTCTTCCTGCTATATATATTAAAGATGATGAGATTTCATTTCTTTACCCAAATCATCACCAATTAGGATAGGATTTAGTTTGTTATGTACTTATTTATTCAAGTTATTGTTATTTCTTTTTAAACTACAAACTGCACGTTTGTTGTTTTTTGGCGTAAGTATTCTTTAGGAAGGCAGGTTTAGAATAAATAGTTTTACGCACACTTTTGCTCTTCTGCTGATGAAAACTGAACTCTAACAGGTTTAAATTTCATACTTGCATATTTTTGTTTCCTTTTAAAAGGGTTAACACCCTGGGAAACTTAAATTGCACCCCATAAGTTTCCCTACTACTTGTTCCTGGAATTAGCGAAGTCACCCTGGAGTTGCACTTTTGGCAATATTGTAACTAGCTCTCCACGGAACATTTGTGTGGAAACAGTTTCACTAAAAATCTTCCTGAATATCCATGCCTACTTGCCATAGTTCCCCTCTGATCATGGCTGCTTCTTTTTCATATCAGCTGCTTCAACATCATTCCTTCCTTTGGGTTCTCTTCCTTGGGTGGCTCACATGTTACAGAAGTAAGTTCTCTGTTTTCAGGACCTTCCAGTGTAGAGGTGTATCCAAATGACACAGTTATAGCATTTTGATGCCACTTTAACTGCCATGGCTCCAATCTAAGGAATCCTGGAATTTCATGTTGTTATTGTCACGTGCTTTCCAGTTGACTTCAACTTATGGAGACCCTATCCTAGGGTTTTCTTGGCAAAATTTATTCAGAGGAAGTTTCCCATTGAGAATGGGATTTCATGATGGACTTAAAGTTTTCTGCCAAAAAGCTCCAATACTATAGTTCCAAGTAGTTGTTAAGTCCTTTACCAAACTAAAAATCCCAGGATTCCATAGAATGGAGCCATGGCAGTTACAGTTGTACCAGACTACTATGATTGTGTGGATACACTGCAAGTCTTGTTGGAAGAAAAGGAACCATCAAAGAGTAGAGCAAGAGCCTTGAATTTGCCTATAAACAGTTAGGAACTGGACAGCAGACTGAACAGCAAGCACACAAATCACCAGGTTATATCTTCCAACTGAACTGAAATATGTTGTATTTCATAAATGTATTGTAGGAGGAGCCCTGGTGGTGCAGTGGTTAAATGCCTGTACTGCAGCCATTCACTCATAGACCACAAGGTTGTGAGTTCAATATTAGCCAGGGCTCAGGCTAGACTCAGACCTGCATCCTTCCGAGGTCGCTAAAATGAGTACCCAACTGTTGGGGGGCAATGAGCTTACAGTTGTAAACCACTTAAATATCCCACAGCGAGGTATGAAGTGGTATATAAATGAAGCTGCTTTGCTTCTCTTAAAATTATGGTGATTATTCCCAAATGTCGCCCGCCAGGAACAACAGTAAGGGGGCACACAATGAAGCTTCTCCTCTCCTGTCCACTACATTTACAGAGAGAAAAAAGCCAATAGCACACCAATCAGATTTACAACCCATGCAAGTTGAAAGTTTTTAAAGGTGAGACAAACTAAAGATGGGAGCTGCTAAAAAAACATCATTTCCCTAAAGGATTTTCAGAAGAGTGGAAAATGCTTGGTTGAAGGTTGGAGATGGATATCATTCTGTCTAGAGAAGTTAGAAACCTAAACAGCAGTGGGGGCAAAAAATCAGCACTATAAATTAGGTGTGTTTTCTCCCCCTTGCATTGATTGCAGACAACATACACAGATTTTTCTTTTTTTTAGGGTCTTCCTTGTCATTATTAATGATCTTTACCTGCTCATTTATTGCTGTTCTTTGCTCTGCCACTCATGAGTTACTGGAGGCTATCAATAGATTGTGAACATAAATAATGTAACCATAAAGCCACCCTTTTGAATTCACAAGTATCAAATATATTGAAAGGAGTACAGTACATGAGAGAAAGGTTCTGTTAAAAGCAGAAGACTTAACAGCATCCTGGGAGATGTTAAAGTATTGCTAATGATTAGCGCTGTGCATTCGGCAAGTTACCGGCTTCCTGATGGACATATAGAGATTCAAGGCTTCTCTTTGAAAGAAATAAAGCAAGCCTAATATGTGGTATTGCATACGGAAGAAAATTATTGTATATTTCAGTCAATTTTATCAAACCACTCTCTCTATATATAAAAAAGATGTCTTCTCTATAACTTTTCTGTAAATTTAGCTGTAAGATTTCTGTGTTCAAGACATTTTTAAAGTGCAAAATTATATCTTATAATGTCATGGCTATTTTTGTGTGTGTGTGAAATTGGGCATGTTTCTTTTATTTATTTTTTTAAAAAATGCTTTTCTCCATACCACCCACTGGTACTGACTTTCCACATTACCGCACTACACTCTTATAGCACTCTTTTACTGCTCTGGCTGCCTCATGTTGTATTTTGAAGCTTGTAGTTCAGTGAGTCCTAAGAGCTCTCTGGCTGAGAATTCTAAATGCCTCTACTTAAACTTCAAATCCAGAATGCAACAGGAGGCAACCAGAGCAGTTAAAGTGGAATAGTAGTGGTATAAGAGTGTAGTGCGGTAATCTACCTTGTATAGTCATCTTCAACAACTGGCCTGTGACAGACAACCATGAAAGTGGATGGAATGATTGGACATAACCAGATAGAAATTGGGCAGAATTGTATCCTCTAGGATTATAAGTGTGCAGGTCCGGAGTAGAGAATGGGGACAAGCATACAAGTGTCAGCTGGAGAAAAGGTTTTCTGTTAATGTGTGATGCTCTTCTTTTGTGCTGTTGTTGTTGTTGTTGTTGTTGTGTGCCTTCAAGTCATTTCCAACTTATGGAAACCTTAAGGTGAACCTATCATGGGGTTTTCTTGGCAGGATTTGTTCAGAGGAGGCTTGCCATTGACTTCTCCTGAGGCTGAAAGCATGTGACTTGCCCAAGGTCATCCAGTGGGTTTCATGGCTGTGTGGGGAATCAAACCCTGGTCTCCAGAGTTGTAGTCCAACACTCAAACCACTACACCACACAAGCTCTCAAAACCTTAATATCACAAAGGGATGATTTGATCATTTAAGGCCAAGCTATGCCTTTTGTTATTCACATTTAAAGAAAAGTGTGCTTAAACCAGCCACTTTGATGTGGAAGAAACAATGACCATGGAGGTCCAGTCTAGAATGCCCTTCCAATTTGGATTAGAACCCTATGAATGCTATGAAAAAATTACTCTATCATGCATACTTACATCTAAAAGTGTAGCCAAAAAGCAAGAAAGATGGATGGCAGGGTATAGTGTATGGCCTTTTAGAGTACGCTAACTTTATCTCATTGTGTTATGTTCCTTGTATCATGGTCCATACAAATTACACATCAAACTGATACACACAGGTGTCCTGCACAAAATACTCTCTACACACAGAGAACCAGCATGTTTTAGGAAAGAATAGTTAATGTGCTCTCTTACTCTGTATGTATATATAGAGCATCTTATTTCTGAATACATTCAGAATTTAATATTTCATTTTGCCACCATCTGGTGGTTGGTGGCTTCCATGTTATTGGACAGGTTAATCTGTTCTAGGTTTTGGTCTAAACTTAAAGGAGTTGTCTAAGGTGCTGAACCCCCAATAGGCTTATCTTATATAGTTCCTTCAAAAGTGGGACTTAGATCTCAGAATGGATTCAACCCCCAACTGACATGGACGATATCAATCAGGACTGATTTTGATCCACTAAATCCAAAACTCTCCCATTCTCTCCAGAGAAAAGGTATGACCAGCTTAGAGCTAGCACAATACTTTTACCTCACATGGGAGCTAACACCAGCTATAATCTATAAAAAAAAGTATTCAAAAACATAGCAGTGTTAGTCTGGGTCAGTATGCAAGGAATCTTGCAGTACCTTTGAGACTAACAGTCAGAAAACTTGGTAGTACAAGCTTTTGTGGTCTAAGGGCTGATGCAGATCAGCACAAAGGGCCAGCCTGGGGGTGGAGCTGGGGCGGGTCAGCCACACGCCAACCATCCCATGCCGTCCTGATGCCACGTGCCTGTCTGCATGGTGTGCGGCATCAGGGCACCCTCCTGGTGCAGCATGCATACACACTGTGCCAAAAAGGCACAAAAGAGCCGTGGCCCCAGCTCTAAGGGTGGCTTTTTCAGGGGGGGGACAGCAAAAAAGAGGATCGCTGCAGCCCCAATCCGCCGCTCCCAGTGGCAGCTGAGAGCCACCCCAAATGAGCTGTCTGTATCGGCCCTAAGTCTACTTCATCAATTGCATGCTCTGAAGTGCCTAAGAAAAGGCACTTATACCCATTTTGTTATATCTCTTTTCTGATTCCTAGCCAGCATCATGCTACATTTCAGTAACTCCATCCACTGTCTACTCACCTTGGCTTTAGGCAATATCTTTCCTTCCACCTTTGTCCCTGAATGACCATCATTAAAACTGAATGTGTCATCTCATCGCCACACCCATAACTTGCTTTTCTAATACTATTTATCGCCACACCTGTAACTTGCTTTTCTAGTACTCATTCTGTTCTGTTCCTAGGCTGTACTTTTTCATATGGAGAAACTATTACACATACTAGTCATATATGACAAAAGCCAGACAGGAGCAGAGTTTGGGGTGGAGAGGCTAACACAGGGGGAAATATATTTTTGTAACTTGCCATATTCCAAATTGTACCCTGGCCACTTTGCCTCTTGATGGTTCCCAGTGGCCTCATTCAGATCATTGTAGCATATCCTGATAAAGTGAGATGTGCATGAATCTTTCCCCCATGTGTTTCATTCATACACCAACACTTCTTTCCTAAATTTCTCTTCTGAATCTCAATTTGGGAGAAAGTCGGATGGATAAATACATAAATAAATATTCAATAAATGAATAGATAAGCATGCCATGATAGACCAAGGCATCAGTAGTTAATTGTAGTTTCCCATTTCATCTGAACCGATAAACTGGGTTCACAGGTTCAGATTAAGTAATTATTTTGAACCATGGATTGAAAACAATATATTCTGTGCAGGAAATAAATATTTCTGCATTGATAATTTCTGAATTATTTTTCCATACAAAAAATGCTATTTCCTGCACAGAAAATGCTTTTTTTCTAGCAAAACAACCATGTGTAGATTTTGCACATAATAAGTCCCAACTTGCAAATAGTCTCCTGCACAGAAAATGCTTTTTTTTAGCAAAACAACCATGTGCAGATTTTGCACATCATAAGTCCCAACTTGCAAATAGTCTCCTAAAGCTGCATGGTTTTTGAAGACTTTTTCACAGTGGGAAAAAAATCACAGAAATTATTTAATAATACTTTCTAGAAAAAACGTAGGGCCAAAACAGACCAGCAGTAAGTGCTGGCTGGGGGCAGAGTGGGGGTGTGGCATTCTGTCATGGCATTTACACTTTTTGCAGAAACATCAAAATGCTGCTGCAGCACCAGAAAGACCAGCTTTTTGCCAGCTCAAAAAGGAGTGGCATTTTGCTGCTGCTTTTTGAGCTGGTAAATAGTGGGATTGGGGCCACAACGTGTGGTTGCTGTGGTGCTGCAGCATGTGGCTCCGCAGCAGCCCCAGTCTGGCATTTTTGGGTAGTCTGTTTCACTCCTTAGTGAAGAATTACATCTCTACATAGAGATTTGAGCAATGGGAACCAGTGTCTTAGAGATAACCATTCCATTCTCCCTTAATCTGGTATTAGATGATTCAGGCTCCAGCTTGAAGCCGACTGGTCCAAGATAAATACAAGTGTGGCTGGGCCAGCACTACCAGCACAGGTCTCCCCTCCGCATCTTCATATTATGCACTGTTTTATGGAAATAGTCATGACCAGTTTTAATTCCAGTCAAGGATCTGGCTCTTATATCCATGCAACACTGATTTACCTCATCTTTACTAATAAACAGCTTTTCAGTCTGTGACATTTCTGGTTACTGAAGCTGAAGTCATTTAAAACTATTGCAAATTTGAAATGCATGAGAGCATTTGTCTGCACTCTGGTCCCAACAATGTCTTGCCCCTTGTCTTTTCTTTGCCCCAAGCATCTCTTCTGAAGCTGTTTTTCCTTAGGAAAATAGGTACTACACATCTATGTATATAAAATATATCAGATCCTTAGAGAAACTAATAATCTACAAATCTACCATTGCACTTTGCCTCTGTTGGGAGAGTGTGCTCTACAAAGATTCCTTTTTCCTCTGTATTTATCATTAGCATTATCTTCATATTATTTTGCATTCTTTTCCAGAATATCTGACAAACTGACCTAAGAGCTGAGGAACAAAAGTTCACCTTTCTATGGTTGCTCTTTTTTCCCCCTGGAAGCTTATTTTGTAATTAAGTTAATCCTTAATGGCATGTGGATAGGAGGCCTAATTACATAATTAGACAACTGCCTTATTAACTGATCTGTGATGACATGCCAAATGCATCTTTTGAATTCCATGGTCTCCACAGATTCTTCAAAGCCTTTTGTCTGTGACCACTAGTCTAAAGTTCAATAGCTCAATTGTGCAGTCCTCTCCATTTTGTTGGTAGTCCCGGATAGTAAATAGCATGATGGTTAGCACAGTTTGGCTTTTTTTAGGATTGCAAATTCAGTAAGTTTTATTAATATTAAAATACCTGAGAATGTCTACTGAATTTCAAAAGTGTTTTCTAAAAGGATAAAAACCTAAAGAAAGGCTGGAGGGAATGTTTAAGATATTCATTTATCTTCATAGACAGCCACACTGCCTTATTTTATTCAGAACTTCTTCTAACTTATATTCCTAAAAATATGAAGAGTAAGAGTTATATAGAGCCAGTGAGGGGCATTGGTTTGAACATTAGACTAGGACTTTGGAGATCAAGGTTTAATTCTCCACTCAGCCATGGGTGACTTTAGGCAAGTCACACACTCTCATCCAGAAACCCCAGTGATAGATTTGCTTTAGGGTCACCATAAGTTGGAAATGACTTGAAGGTGCACACAACAACAACAGCAGCAGCAACAACAGAGATATCCAGTCATGTGAACCTATCAATAAAATGGACACCATGGATGAAATATACCCCATCATAGCCTGTCTTTCCCCTTCATCCATATTGGCTCCAAAGGGGTGGAAGACTTATTAAAGCAGGGAGGAGAGGACGGGGAAGTCTTACTGTATCAGTGAATGTCTTTTACCATGATGCTGAATGCAACCCTGATTGACATGTGGTGACCATACAAATACACTTGTCATAGTGATGGTTGGTTAGAGCACCTGCTCTACTTTGCAGTTTGTAGAGAGATCTTGTAGCACCTTTGAGACTAACTGAAAGAAAGAAGCTGGCAGCATGACTTTCAGAGACTTCATTCTACTTCCTCAGATGCTTTTGGTGGACTGGAAGCCAGGGATAGACATATATATGCCCTTGGTATGTGAGAAGGTCAATTCGAATTCAAAATGGAAATTTATATGGAAATGAAATAGCAAGTCCAGTTTTAACTATGGCCATTTGTGGACAAAGGCATAGCCATTGGGTATGGAAATGAAGTGGCAAGACCAGTTTGGCCTTGGAAACCAGCCTGTAGGTGGGGAGAATAGATTAGTGTAGGATGCTCCCTGGGGTCAGATAGTGCTGAAATGTGTAGTGAGCCAGGAAGCCATTGTCCCTGTTCAATCCATTGCTGAGAGATTGCAGTTTATGGATGAATTCTAATTCTGTTTTTTCTCTTTCCAATCAATCTTTGTAGCTCTTTTGTTCAAGGACTGCTGTTCTGAGGTCTGAGATGGAATGCTCAGGAAGATTGAAATGTTCAGCCACTAGTTTTGTGTATTCCCACTCCTAAAGTCTGATTTATGCCCATTTATCCTTTGGCGCAGGGACTGGCCTGTTTGCCCAGTGTAGAGTGCTGATGGGCGTTCGTGGCACAAATTGCATTGGGGAATGAGCATGTGAAGGTCCCCCTAATATTGTGAGTGATGCCATTAGGTCTTGTGATGACATTTCCTGGATAAATGTGGGGGCAGAGCTGGCATCTTTGTTTGCAGCAA